ACGTCAGAACTGGCGACCCGAACCCAAATCCTGAGGTCCTGGGCAGTATATTAACCAGGGACCCACAGTGCTGGAGTCGACCTTGCATCCGTCTCTCGGCCCCTAGGCAGGAACATCTGGACTCCACAGTCCCATCCAAATAATAGATCGGATGCTTCACCAAGCCTAATTTTAAGAATGTCTTCATATCATACCATCTGTGTGTGGTTTAATATTAGTCCCATTAATTCTTGTCCTAGCCATCCCTGGGCGCGGAGAACATTTTGTTCCATGCTCTCTGTGGCAATCCCCAGGATAAAACAACAATACGGACAGGGCAAGGATATAGTGACTATTTCTGTAAGGTCCAGGATATTTAAATAGCATAGTACAGCAAGATCAGAAAAGTCTGGGTCCAATGCACAGGCAAATCCCCAACCCCTCCTCAGTTGGTCCCTGGCGTGCGTGCTTACGGGTGCAAGCCGAAGGGTGCAAAGCAGCAGCGAGGATGCTTTGAACACTTCTTCACCAGCAAGCCCTTTCCCAGCTGATCTCATTAGGTGAAGCCAAGAGAAGGGCTGCCAGCTCTCACAGATTATGGCCTAAAAGCAAACACGCTTTGGCAAGCCACCGAAAAATGCTCTAAGCAGCTCACAAGGTCACTGCTTTTCCCTCCGCGCTGTAAGGAGTTATCTTTTGGGATTCGCTGCAGAGCGCCAGGCTACGAAGCATCTGTGGGAACTGCCTTGCCCGCAACTTGCAAAGAAAAGGAGGATCAGGCAGTATGGAAACAAAAAGCTTTCCATGCAGCTCACCTCAAATCCATATTGTGCTTCAGGTTTGCGGATACAGCATGATTGTGGAAAAGGGATTAGTGCACATATCTACCTTAAAAATGACCAAGAAAAACCCAGATAAACCATCACTGTAATCACAGAGAGTATCAAAAATAGCAGAAATTCATTACTGCTGACTTTTAATGGGATGAGTTATCTAGTTACTCCTTTGCGCCGTTAAAAATCGTTCAGAGGTCTCATTCCCCTGTAGAAGGAGTAAATCACTCAGAAAATTTGTCCTTCTCTAATTGCTCGTAGAGTGTGTACGTAGAAAGTGCTTGCATATGCATGCAGTCTCTTTCCAGCAATCTCCTCATTAACTGAATGTTTATTATGTTGTATGTGCTTTGAGTGTTTTATTTTCAAGGTATGAAATATCACACTCATTATTTCTCCTTCCCCACCCCAGCTCAGGGAGGGTTTTCTGTACACACTCCCACCACAGCATCATATATTGCCATACAGTCCACATTTTCACTTTTAATGCTGAAAAGAGAACTTAACAGAATTTGGACCCATATGCACTACATTTTTGGAATAATGCCTTCACATTGCATGTTGTTATATTACATCACAACTAGCTAATCACAAGGTTGTTTTTCAATAACTAACCCCCGGAAAAGTTCATTTCCAAAGCTATAGCACAATGGTTCAGCATCTGCTCTTGGCCAGTACATGGGGTTTGATAAATAACATCAGTTACATAATATAAATGGAAATTGCTTGGTTACACATCTAATGTGCATAAGCCTCTGATGCATGCAGTTTTTAAAACATTCAGAAGACATTTCACATGTCACAGTGCACCCACTGCTGCATTATCTCGTTAACTATCTCCTCCAAACAGACTGGGAAATCAAATCCTACCGAAAATCCACAGATTTAGGGCACTTACAAAGGTTGGACTGCATGCCCCAGAACCTGAGCTTTTGTACAAACGGATGCATGGTCCTTTTCGGTTACAACTGCTCCTACGCTGAACTGGGAAGCAGAGTCTAAACCAGAAATGTCAGCATCCTAGCCCACTGCTAAATGAGCGCAGAGGTTCCAGGTACCAAACTGAAACCCTTCGAAAAGTGGGGTATCTGCTCCAGGTGCCTGTGTAGGAGCCCTTCTGCCGGCTCCGCACCAGGGACGGGAGCCAGCACTGCTGCAAGCAGCACCCAGCTCCGTCTGGGCACAGACCCAAGTCCTCAGCATCCTGCTCCTTGGCCCTGCGTCACCTAGAAAGTCCCTTGCCCGCTGCCTGGAGGGCGTTTGGTGCCCGAGAACAGCACCAGCAAAACTCGAGCGCACGCCAGAACGGAGCGAGCCTCCGCCAGAGCTGCTGGCACTCCCACGGTTCCCATCCGCCGAAGGGAGAGCGCATCTGCGAGCACCCCACATCCTAAAGGTGCGGTCTAATTGCTCCCCAGTGCAGGAGAGTTTCCCTCTCCTGCTGCGTTGGGACTTGCCCAGAAGCTCAGCTCCGGCAGGACCGAGAAATCACACCCCTACTCAGCATCACGAAACGAGGGCAGAGAGCAAGCCCTGCACAGGAGGCATTTCACATGCGTGAGGCTTTGTAGCCCTGTCCCAAACACACCGAGACATACATATATCCCGCTGCTTCAGCAAGGGATTTGTCCAAGAGTGGAGGGAAAAAAATAATTATAAAATAAATAAATAAAAGCCCAAGGGATTGCAAAGAAATTGCAGCTCAGATACACTCTTTAACTGGGATGCTCCTAGGAGGCATGGTTACATTAGCATTTAATTAACAGCACCCAGCTTGCATTTGATTTCTATTTTAAACAAGCTGCAACACCACCAGGCACGGACGGATCATTCACCGAGATGAAGGCAAGCAAGGGGAAGAGATTTCTATCCTGCTTCGCAGTCAAATGACATTTCATTTGATCTACACCAAAAATAAAAATGCTGCTTCGCCAGACACTGGAGTCTGCATCTCCTAGCAACACTTCTCCCACCTCACACGTTTTACTCGAGACCCTTCATCTCGTGCCTGTTGCTGTGCTGCTAGCAACACACCTCCCTTCCCCACTGGGGCACGAGATATATCTACATATGTATCTATACAGTCGCACACACAAATACAACCTTAAACACACAAAATATAGCCTTTAAATTAAAAAAAAATTGATTGCATAACCTTAATTCAACATTTCTATTAAACAACTTCTGTGTGCATAATGGATTACTGAGTAACAAGGTAAAGAAGTAGCTGGTGCGTACCAAGGAAGCTCCTCGCTGCTGGGCTTTGACCAGGTTGTATCAGCCTGGTTACTCAGGCCATACTCTAGTATAGAGTGTGTTTTCCAGCAGTGTAAAAAATGCTAAGGAAGGGTTAAGGTATATATATGAGCGTGTTTCGCAGACAAATGACACTGCAGATGTGGGGACTGCGCTGTATTAACTGCACACAGCGTACGGCTGCATTAACTGGTAGGTGGGGAATGGGTTGCAGAAATGCTCATGATACACCATGAGGCACGTCCGTGGGGTGATTTAGTCACCAGCTTTTAGGCAATGAGCAAGGGGTAACGTAGCACATTTACATACAGCAGCTCCGTTCAAATATAAAAGGAGGTCAAGAAATACCATGTGAGACCTCACCTATTTGTTGCGGTGCTCCACTAGGGCAAAGCCAGGGCTTGCCAAGGCTGGAAGCAAACAGATCGGACAAGCCGCACGGACTCCTGTGCGCAAAGACAGGAAAGAGCTGCTGGAGGCTTTTGCAAGGTGCAGACTTGCACAGACCCATACTTACCCAGGTGCCTAAAGACGACAGCATTTTCATAGGCTTTGCAGGAGACAGTAAGCTTTAGACAAGAAAACACTAATGTTATTTTTAAGTGCTGTTTCTCTTATGCTTTATTGTAGGTCTATCACTCTGATTAAACAGATGTGGTTTCATTACAGTACATATGGTTTTGTATTATATCAGCTTTCTTGTTTCTACTCTGCCACTGTTATTTGTATTATTGGATCTGTTGAATTAAATCATCTTCTGATTATTTACCATGGTATAGCTGCATAGGCTCGTCATTATTTTATCAGGTATCTTTTGTTTATACAGCTTCCCATTCTGACTTCCCAAATATCTCCTCGCTGTTTCACAGTGTGGATTGCCTTCGCGCCTGCCTTCTGCTATTTCTTGTGACTGAATGAGAAAGTTTAATATTGAAGAAATCGGAATTAGCACTATTAAAACAATACTACTCTCCAAATAGGTTTAAAAGACTAGTGTTCAAACATGCTGCGTGGTTAGGATGAGCATGCATGTTTTTCAACACGATCTGTTTGTGCAGCCCAGGCAAAGTTCATATGCCCTGTTTAGAAGATTATGGAGAATGTCCAGATTTGCTTAATCAACTTTCTGGACTTTCATCTGAAAATGTCAAGCAGACGATTGCTTGGAGGAGAAACAGGTTTGAGCTCCTACACAAACAGTTAAACCCCTCACCCAGCACAGCTCCCTGGTGCTGGTGCTTCAGGTTGAGCCCTGCAACCTTACACCCTCTGAGCAGGGGAACGGCTCCAATTTGCTCCGGCCCGGAGATCCAGAGCCCCTGCTCGGCCTTTGCCGATGGCCTGCCTGCCCCAGCACCAGGGATGTGACACCAGCTGTGGCCTCACGCCAGCCCCTTATGCCGAAAGCTCCTGTGCCGGCTGCTTGCCAAGCTTTGGTGCTGTGGAGCACGGCGAGAGTTTTCTTTTCTGGGTTGCAGTTGTCTTGATGAGTGAAAAGGAGGAAACGTTCATTAGAGAGGAGAGTTGGGATCACTAAGCGGGTGTTCGCTTCACATAGTTTTTTTCCAGACTACATTTCTAACAAGGTAGAAATTCTAGAGAGAAAAGGTAGCCTGCCTAGAGCAGCTGTGTTATTATTTAATGTATAGCATTACCCTATCTGACTGCAGGCTGTCGCAGGGCTGAACGATAAAGAATGGATAACGCTGGTATTAGGACGAGCTGTTAGCTCACGGGAACATTTGTTACGTCTGCCCCGAGCAACTCGCAGCATGTGTCTACAGTAAGGTTTAAGTGCAAGGTTGGAACGAGGCTCCCGGTCGGCCTCACTTACTGCACGTGGGTCCACAATACGGCGTGGGTTTGGAGTTCCCCAGCCAGAGTCCTCCCCCAGAAGCCTGAGTGAGAAACACGGGGCAGTCCCGAAGGGGCATGCGGGTGCCAAGCCCGGCTACAGCCACTTGGAGTAGAGCCCCCGACCAGCCCCTCACACCAACCACTTCCCTTGGAGACCTGCCCCTGCCGGAGTGCCTGGGAAGAGGGAGGTGAGGGGAAGGAGAAAACCAGAATGGGCTTCCCAGTCAAGATGAGGAGAAGAAGGGCTCCAGGAAGGACCTGGGGGTGGTCAGAAGGTAATTTCAGAGTGGGGAAGAACGCAAAGATGCAACTAATGAGAAACGGCTGACATGAACAGAACATAACGGCGGAGGAGAAGAAAAGCAAAGAGGGAGACAGAGAAGGTGGTGACCCAAAGGCCAGCTTTGGTGTCCGTGTAGGGGAGCTGCGAAGAGGGAAGCGCTGTGAGCAGGTATAGATGGTTTCAGCTGGCCGCACCAGCTATCAATGTATTGATGTGTCCTTCCCCTTGAACCTGTTTTGCTCCTTTATGTTAATATAGTTTTGACCAACAAGAAAGCTCCTGTGTCTGCTTTGCCAAGCGAGTACCACTTATTGACCACCACCACGCAATGCAACGCCTGACAGCTGCCCGGGGTGGTAGTGCTACCACCAACCCAAATGCAGCCGGTCCCAGCCACGCTCGTGTGAACACACTCACGTGTGCTCAAGCTCCGCTGCTTGCAGACAGGTGAAAGGCAGCATGGAGACATCCACAGGTCCATCGTCCTGCCTCAATGCGGCAGGGTCCCGAGACCTGGCACCACCACTGCTCTGCACTCAGCACCACGCTGCCATCCAACTGCTCCAACGCTGAATTTTGCCAGCCTGCCCAGTCCTGCCACCACGTGTCCAGTGTCCCTCATCCCATCACCATCCCCATTATTGCGCTGTGACCAGCCCTGTCCACCCTCCCACCTCATCTCCCGCCAGAACTGGGGCTGGGCCCCACAGGGCAGGAGCTGCACCATGCTCCCACCCCACGACATCCCTCCTAGGTGGGCAGGCTCTCCAGCCCTAAGGCCCCATCCCGAACCCTGGGCAGGTGCACCCCAAGGAGCATGTCACCCTCAGGGGTGTGTCACTCCCAGGAGGGTGCCACCCCAGGCAGATGCACCCCAAGGAGCATGTCACCCTCAGGGGTGTGTCACTCCCAGGAGGGTGCCACCCCAGGCAGATGCACCCCAAGGAGCATGTCACCCTCAGGGGTGTGTCACTCCCAGGAGGGTGCCACCCCAGGCAGATGCACCCCAAGGAGCATGTCACCCTCAGGGGTGTGTCACTCCCAGGAGGGTGCCACCCCAGGCAGATGCACCCCAAGGAGCATGTCACCCTCAGGGGTGTGTCACTCCCAGGAGGGTGCCACCCCAGGCAGATACACCCCCAAGCTCGCTACCATCCCCAGCTGGGTGTGCCTTTAGGAGCGATCGTCCCAAGCAGGGTGCACCAGAAGGAGGACACAGCCCTAGGAGAGCATCACCCTGGCTGTCACTCCCAGGAGGGTGTCACCCTGGGCAGGTGCACCCCAAGCTGGCCGCCACCCAGAGCCAGGTGTGCCCTAAGGAGGGACCATCCCACGGAGAGCGCACGGTACGGAGGGCATCCCCCCCACCCCTCCGGGAGGAGAGCATCACCCCCAAGGCAGGTGTCACTCCCGGAAGGGTGTCACCCCCGGTAGATGTCACCCCCCA